AAGTCGTGAACTTTGACGTTTAATATCTCGTCTCCTGGGACAGAGCGACAATTTAGTGAAAGGAAAAAGTTTTTTTAAAGAAAAAACGCATCGAATGAGACCAGTTAGGTCAAAATCGGAGGTGACGTGGGTATTCTGCATAATTACCTTTAACTTTAACTTTTAACATGTTTTGAAAAATTTCCACGTTTATCGATGATTTTTACGACTCGGTGTGCGCTAATCTCAGGGTTCGGGCAGCCGCGGATACATCGCTGAAGCGTGCGATGAGACTGTGAGGTTTCGCTCGCCTAGTTTCCAGACAAAGATACATAACCTTATATACGTATTCGCGAAATCAAGTTACGGTACATATATTCGCGATGCATCCGAGCACTTGACCACCTGTCGAAAAGGGGGCGTCGTTTCACGCCCGTCACACGCCTGCGATATTACTCACCCACCTGTCACTTGAACGTGCGTCGGACTCCACATCTTAGGGCTGGCTCGGTTTCGTTTTTACGCACGTCCGATAGCTACTCACTTGATGGAATTGCAGCACTCGTCGTTATGCGATTTAGCCGCCACTACGCGACAATAACGACGATCACGCGCGGTGCGTCACAAATAAACGTTTGCATCACGCGGCCGTACCTCGCACACTGTCGACCGTTTCGTTCACTCGCGACCAGTGATGCGATATTTCCCACAGGCTCGAAGCCAAACGCTCGCTGCGCGGTACGCCTTACAATGTATATAACTTGATATGACTGTACTCTGTACTCTGTACCAGACTGTACAATCCGTTCGTGCTTTCAACAACCGCTACCCGCTACGCTACGTGTGGTTGCCAGGAGCGGCGAATCATGAATAATCCGATATCTTTATTTATATATATATATATATATATATTATTTTTTTTTATTATTAATATGTTTAATGTTTAATAAAATGTTTAATGTTTATTAATGTTTCATGTTTATTAATGTTTAATTAATGTAATTCACTGTCAATATAATTTATTACATAAAAAAATATATATATAATAAATATATATTTATAATGTATTATAAACTATATTTATCCTTTTTTATTAGTTTTTGTTCAAGTTGTTAAAATACAATTGATATTTTTTTTATTACATAAGGGGGTATTCTACTATAGACACTCGTATTCTATGCAATTTTTGAAAATTTATTTATAAAAAACTATTAAACATAATAAGTTGGTGTTTTGCGTATATATTTATCCATATTTAAAATAACACCCAAAATTTTTATTCAATCGGACGACCTGATTGCGGTCGTCCTAGGCATCGAAAATAAAAAAACAAAATTTTTATTTTTTACGAATATGGTTGTATCATTTTTTATTAAAAAATTAATACATATTTACATATTACATTTTTATATATGCCTTACTTAAAAGTATAAGTTGGATTATTTGCTAAGTAAAAATTGGTAACTGTTTTCATGAAATAGTATTATTAATATTAATTAATTAAGTTGTGCAATTGCGGATATCAAAGGAACAATTAAAGAGCAATTCTTTAGTGTATGTTTCAACATAATTACATTTTTTCACGTCAATTTCTGATTGGTTTTGAGAACTCAAATTAAAGTTCAGCATAGCAAACACATGCCACGGGAGTGGCACGGGGCTAGTGTACTAGCTTAGTAAGCTAGAGAAGCAAGGTTCGATCCCCGTCTGGTTTTTCTCGTTAAGGCATTGGTGACAAAACTTGTCTGCGAGAGGTGTTAGTAGTGCCACAATCGAAAGATTTGGTACTTTATCTGACGACTTAAGTTGTCGATATTCACGGTTATTATTGTTTTACTAAAAAAAAAATGTTTTATGAAAAGAACATTTTTTTGTTTTGTAAAACAGTTACTTTTATGAATTAAGAAAATTAAGAATTCTTCTATTTTTAATCCTTTTTTTGGTACATGTTGATTTTCAATCTTGTAATGGCCGGTTTATGCTTCGGTCTTATGGCCGGAGCACAGACTTTTGCATAAAGCATAACGCATAAGCATAAGGAAATTGATTGGTCTATATATAAGCATAAGCAAATGCATAAGGAAATGGACCAATCAATTTCCTTATGCTTATGCGTTATGCTTTATGTAAAAGCTTGTGCTCTCGGCTTAAGACCGAAGCATAAACCAACCATAAGATGATTTCATGGCAACAAATTTTTGTGATTTTCCCATAGAACTTATATACATGGAAGGAGAATAAGAGCAAACAATTGTACCCAAGAAGTGAGACAAATATATATAGTGCTGTCTTATTCTATTACTCTTTCTGTAAGAACGCATGCGTAGCCATAGTAAGGTTGTGTTAATATCTGTTTATATCAATCTTTGTCAGGCTTTGTGAGATCACGTAATGTACAACACGTGTACGAACATCAAAATTTGTAAAAATTAATGATTTTTGCATTGTGCGTGTAATTTAAAAAAATTGAAGAAAATGGGTGTGTACTGTGTGTAATGTATGTGCAACATTTTTAACATCTAGCAATGCCGAAGCAATTTCGAAGTTGACTGCTATTAAAAATAGAGGTAATTTGATTCTTCCTTCCGAAGATGTCATAGAAATATCACGCTCTGCGGAACGTGCCATTCGAGAATTACAGTCATCTCATTTTTACAAAAGAAAATATTAAACAATTTATTACTAATGTTGTATGTCGTACTACTTACGATCAAGTTTTCACGCATATGACTAATCATAAGGAAAATGCTTCTCGCAAAAATCAATTAGATAATCATAAATATCAATTAATAAAAGAAATTTCTAATATATATGTACAAATCCGATTATATCATGAAGGAAAACGCGCTACCCATGCGGATAAAAAGAATATCTTCGGCATACGTATACTAAATTAATACATTTTAAACACATGTAATTTTATTGTTATTGTTTTATTGTTTATTGTTCCAC